AATTCATTAAATCATATATAATTAAATCGTCATAAAAAAGGATGCTTAACATTAATTCATCAAAACATTTATAATTAAATCTAGTCCTAAAAAGAACATTACATGTCCTTACCATTTAGTTAGTCATACAAGGACAATAAAATAATTAAAACTTACTCAATAAAGTTATTAAAGATTTTCAGTACTAATTTATCAGTTAATTACATTTCCTGTCGTAAGAGGACTAGATATAGGTCAATCTGACGCATACAATACATGACTATAAGTTTCAATCTCCTAAAATGAGCGATATCATACAATAATTAAAACTTATACTTTTACTAATTTCACTTCATATAACATTTTACATCGTCAATAAAAAGTTTATTATGCAATAACACTTTTACTACAACAAAATAATTTACACATGTTACTTTATTTTACACAAGTTTTTACAAAGGTGGACTTTCACATATGTATATAGTTAATTACCATTATTTTAATGGAAGGACTTCAATAAATATGCTGTGACAGTACTTACACATGTCATAAATGTCTAGATTCAATTATGTTATATCCATTATTTTGCATATTTTGACATCTATACTAAAAGTAATAAATGAATGAGTTACTTTTTATCCACCCATTTTCTATACAGGCATTGATCATTGACAAACACACCTCGAAACGTACACAAATCTTGTGAAAGTATGGAATACATAACTTATTTGAATGTTCTGTAGGACACTTAATGTTTCGTTTTCACAAATCATACAGATTAGCAGACCTTCTAGTCTTTCAGTGCTAAATTGGGTACGGCAAATGCAGAAAACCCATCGTGTAGCTTTGTACCAAATTCAAACCCTCTCTCCGTATTTCAGATCAAATGGTTCTTCCTGCTTCCGGCAAAAAGATAGACGCATTCTATCTTTGGCTGGGAGAAGACATTGGAATGGTTAGAGCCAGAATGTAAGAGAAAAAAAGTGGTAGGTCATTTGGTGATGCCAACAAGAAAAAGAAAGTGCAGATTTCCTAGATTTCGAGATCTTTCCTTCCAGACTTTCAAAATGACTGGGTCCGTAAAGATTCAACTCAAGAGTAAAGGTGTCGTCCATTTTTCTAGGCAGGCACGCACATTTATTTTTTGTGTGTTTTTATAATAAAGATTGTTTTCACTGTTCTTAAAACCTGTCCAATCTAGTTAGTTCTTATATAACTTACAATTTCAGTTGAGTTGACTGTGTTACGTTTTAGAATTTCAAATAATCTGAAATTGAGTTAAATGATACTTTAAATTTAGTATTAAAATTGTACTTTGGATTTAGCAGTTAAGTAAAAGCCAACGAGATTGATACACACAGTTTTTAAACACAAATACGTTTTAGTATACACACAACAGTTCAACTTACAATACAAGTTATTACAAATACAAACAATGATTTATAAACAAAAGTTTCACAATCTTACAAGCAATATAAAGTTTTTTTCTAGTCTGGAACTTCTTCGATATCTTACCAAGGTTCACGATGAGCGAGTTGATGTAGGTATAATTCACTTCACAGGAAGCTAGCTAGTTTTGTCCTTCGTTATTTACCAGCCACACACACCGGGTTTTCCACGATGAATTTATATAATGTTTTCGTACAAATACTAATGTCCAATGAGAATCCACTGAAGTTAAATGATTTGTAATGCTCGAGCTTTGTAAAGGTTCCTGGTGAAATATCTGTAGTTTACCCAATTGATAAGCGTTATGACAATCACAGATATAGCTTCCAAAGTTTTATAGCACACTGACTATAGCAAACTGATAATAGATACTCTCGTTTTTGGCGCGTCGCGTTGGTTATATTTGTAGGCGTGTGGAGACTTTATCGAATTTTCGGTTTTACATAACAATACTGAGCTACATTTAAGCATTTACGTACATACATATATTGTTGATTCTTGCTCTCGAATATCTTCTACAACTTTGGAGAATAGGCGGGAGTTTTGCAATAAATATTTAACACTATAAGCTATGCATGCTTTTAAATATAAACTTAATCTAAACAAACGTTGATATTAAAATAAATATATAACAATAAATTCGTTACAACTGATTTAGGTAGCTTAAAATTTCCTGCTCGACTCTGATCTTATTAGCTGTTCTATCCTATACTTTAAGAGGAATAATGCAAAAAATACATTTTTTAGTACGTTATGCTTAAACAAATTTGATTATGTAAATCAGCAATCCACGTGAAAACCACATCAGATATAAAATCGGGTGGAATGCGATGTATCTGAATTACATTTAGACATTGCTGACGTTACGTAGGTAATGTGATGCCACCAAAAATTCATCGCTTTTGGGAAGGGTATGTAACAGCCCTTTACAATGCACAATATTTACACACTCAAATCTTAAAAATGTTTGCAAATTAGAGAATTGAATTTCCAAGACGGAGATAACCCTTGGTATAGGAAAACAAAGGCATATAGATGAATATGTGAAAACCAGGACCATCCAGAAAGAGGCCCAAAACAAGTAACACATACGTGGTAAGCAGAGTGCAACGTTTAACAGGTTAAAATCTACAAATACAAAGGTCAATGGCAAAAGCCGACTAGGTACTCCAGGAAACAGTACCTAACATAATAAAAGAGGATCTCCGCCTTGAAAAGTGAAACAAGTTACATGTACACAAGTTGCTTCTACGACATGTCTGTCACCTGTCGCATACCTCAAACAGCTGGAGAATGAAATGTGTATTTGTGCTATTCTGTACGACATACTGGTAAGTCACTAGATGCAGCGTCTATGTATTTCTGTGTGATCACATTGTTGAAAAAAAAACATTGAAAATCGTCGTCCTCGTACACCAGATGGATTATGAAAAGTCTCCAAGAAGGAGTGGTGTATTTTGGAAATTACAGCCTTACGACAAAGCATCTAGCAATGAAATTACGCAACAGTATTATTATCAAGACTAGACGTGGCGACGTGGACTGTAATGACGTGGTGAGACTCTAAAATTGTTTTAATATAACGTACTCAACCTCCGTGTACCAACCAGCTCGTTAATTTATGTAATTTCTAGTTCTGCCAGTTTTGGAAAAATATT